TGTGTGTGTGTCCGTGTCCGTGTCCCCGTCCGTCTCTCCGCGTGCTGGCTGTGCCGCGCTGCCGGGACACCGAAGGAAGGCAGAAGAGGGGCAGCCCGTTAGCCGGTCCAGCCCGCGTGAGTGTCCGCCGTCTTGGGTGTGCGGTGATTTAGGCGGGTTCGATGGGCGTGCGCGCGTGCGCGAAGCCACCTTCTCCGCGGAGTCTGTCTGGACCCCGGGTTTCGCGTAGCCCCAGGATCTGCCTCTCAGGGGCCCTATCGCGACCGGTGATGACACTGGTCGCTGGTCTCGTGCTGTCTTCCCTGATTCCTGGCCCAACTGGCCCTCCCTTATTGTGATTGGCTTTGCGGAGCCCCTCCCATCTCCCGTCCTTCCACTCCCTATGCCGTCCATCCCTGCCCTTTGTGTTTCTCTCCCAGTGCCCCGGAATCAGAAGGAGGATGGGGGCGGGTGTGAGTGTGTGTGCTTGAGCAAGAGAAACTTCTTAGGTATTGGGGCGGGGATTCAGGCCAGGGAGGCTTCCGGGTGTATAAAATCCGTTAAGGGTAACATCGGGCCTCCCTCCGTTCGTTCTTCCTTAGGGAGCTGTTGACCATGGAGCCCAGTGATAGTCCCAGTACCGCTATGGAGGAGCCTGACAGCCTGGAAGTGCTGGTGAAGACCCTGGACTCTCAGACTCGGACCTTTATTGTAGGGGCCCAGGTGAGACCCCGGTACTTCTGGAAGATGCCTTAGCTCTTCCTCTTCCTCCCTTAGACTGAGGGAAGAACCTGATTTTGTCTTCAGATTTTATTTTTATGGGTTCCTTTGTTCGTATTCTAGATAGAACATAACCTGGTGTTTTTTGTAGAGTGAGAAGGTGCAGTTACTGTGAGTGAGGCAGATTTTGTTGTGCCTTTCTTCAGCTTAATAGAACTCAATGCAGAAGGAAGTACAAAGAAAGTAGGATTTTCTTTGCTATCACAGGGCATGGGCTCCAGCCTTTGGGAAGGGCAACATAACACAGGAACCTCAAACAGGTGTTTATAAAGAACTTGACAGTAATAGTGTGTGTTTATAAAGTCTAGAAGCCAGAACCCATATTCACATAGGGCCCTCGTGGACTAGTGGGTGGGATTATTAGTACCTGTGGTATAATATGCACCTCTTGAATTTAATGCCATAAACACAGTTATTTGTGTTTTCCCCCATAGTTCTTAGAGGCAAAATCATGAGCAGGTTGATCTTCAGTGCCCTAAGCATATATTTGAGAAATGGTGGGCATGGTGGTGCACACCTGTAACCCAGCACTCAGGAGGCTGAGGCAGGAGGATCACCATGAGTTGGAGGCCAGCTTGGCTACATAGTTCAAAGCCAGCCTGAACTCTGTAGTGAGACTGGTTCAAAAAAATAGACCAAAAAAAAAATGTATAGGTTTTTGTGATTAATACTTATATGTAAATTTTCTGAGTCATTTTTCTGAGGAAAATCTTTTTTCTTTTTTGCAATGTCGGGGAAGGAACCTAGATCCTTGTGCTTGCTAGGCAAGTGCTCAGCCAATGAACCACATCTCCAGCCCTCTGCCCCCTTCTCTTATTTGTTTGTTTATTTATTTTGGTGGGGTTTTTTTATTTTTATTTTTTATTTTTTTTGTTTTTTTGTTTTTTTTGTTTTTTTGTTTTTGAGACAGGGTTTCACTACATAGTTGAGATGTTGAGATTGACCTGGAACTCACTATGTAGCCCAGGCTGGTCTCCAACTCACAGCAATCCTCCTGCCTCAGCCTCCCAAGTGCTAGGATTACAGGCGTGCGTCACCATGCTCGGTTTACTTATTTATTTTGGTACTGGGGATCCAACTCGGGTCCTTGTGCTTGGGGTCCTTGTGCTTGTGAGGCAGGTGGTGAAATCACTGAGCTAAATCCTCAACCCATGCCCTCTTCTTATCTTCTTAGTCTTCCTTAACTTGATTCCCCACCGTGTCCTTCTTACCTTTGTTTTTATCTTTGAGATTATGGGGGATAAATAAACTAGTATCTTTTTCTGTTTGGGAAGGGGTCACTGGTATTTCGGAACACATTCCTTTGGGAGCCAGGCACAGGAAGAGAAAAGGAATGTTAGTTGGCTTTTTGCTTTTTATTTTTTAGTACTGGGGTTTCAACTCAGGTCCTTGGCACTGAGCTCCATCCCAAACCCTTTGTTTTTTATTATTTATTTATTTATTTATGTATTTTTTGGTACCAGGGATTGAACTTGCAAGGCAGGCCACCAAACCGCTGAGCTAAATCCCCGGCCCCCTTTGTTTTTTTTATTTTGAAACAAGGTCTTATTAAATTGCTTAGGATGGGCTTGAACTTTTAGTCCTTCTGCCTCCGTTTCCCAGAGTGGTAGAAATACAAGTACTCACCACCATGCCTGGCTGGTTTTCTTCTCATCCTTATAATTTTCTCCAAAGTTATACCCTGAGCTTTGTTAAGTTTATTGTCTGTATTTTGACATATGTTGCCTTGGCTCAGAGTTTTGGACCATAATTGTCACACATTCTAGACAAAAGGTAGTAGTGAATGAATCTATCATGTAGTTTTGTTTATTTGTTTATTTATTTGTTTTGTTTTTTTGAGACAGGGTCTCTCTATGTAGTTGATACTGACCTGGAACTCACTACTAGCCCAGGCTGGTCTCAGACTCACAGTGATCCTCCTGCCTCAGCCTCCCAAGTGCTGGGATTATAGGTGTGTGCCACCACACCTGGCTGGTTTTATTTATTTATTTACTTGTTTACTTTTTTGAGACAGGGTCTTACTATGTCATTCAGGCTAGCCTTGAACTCACTACATAGCCCAAGCTGGCCTTGAATTTGGGGCATCCTCCTGCCCAAGCCTCCCCAAGGGCTGGGATTACAGGTGTGCACCACCGTGCCTGGCTGCTAGAATGGTTTTTATTGTTCACCTCAAGTCAGTTACTTGTCTTTTGTTCTCCCTTTTTCCTTCATTCTCTGGTTTCTGTGCGTGACCGTTCTTGCAGATGAACGTGAAGGAGTTTAAGGAGCACATTGCTTCCTCTGTCAGCATTCCCTCTGAGAAACAACGTCTCATCTACCAGGGCCGAGTTCTGCAAGATGACAAGAAGCTCCAGGAATACAGTAAGGGGCTGGGGAGGCAGTTCAGGGTTAGGCTGCTGTCCATAGGGATGAGCTGAGGCATGAGTTTCCCTGCTCGCGTAATGTTTTGGTGTATATCTTTTTTTTTCTGCAGATGTTGGGGGAAAGGTTATCCACCTGGTGGAGCGGGCTCCTCCTCAGACTCAGCTCCCTTCAGGAGCGTCTTCTGGGACAGGGTCTGCCTCAGCCACCCATGGTGGGGGACCCCTGCCTGGTACTCGGGGGCCTGGAGCCTCTGTGCATGACCGGAATGCCAACAGCTATGTCATGGTTGGAACCTTCAATCTTCCTGTAAGCTCGAGTTTCACACAGGAGGGTTTTGTGGGGATGGGTATTTTTAGTTGTGGTAGCAGCCAGGTGTTTATAAGATAGGTGTTTCAATTTTTAGCTTGGGTTCAGAGGGCCCTCTGGTCTAATCCTGATACATTGAGAAAAAAGAGTAGTGCTCCAAAGAAAGAATTGGAGAGGTATGAAGGCCTTAGTCCTTGACTTCTCCCAGAGCAACTTCCCTTACCCTTTCCCAGAGTGACGGCTCTGCTGTGGATGTTCACATCAACATGGAACAGGCCCCGATTCAGGTATTGAGGGGCCTGGGAGGGTCAGGGAAGGGGATCTGGGAGAAGGAGGCTACGACGGGGGTGTGGACCTGGCTGAGGAGCTGCCCGGAACCTGATTTAGAGATATGAAGCTCATGGCGCAGTCTCAGAGCTGCCCTGATCACCCCTTTCTCGTTGCAGAGTGAACCCCGGGTACGGCTGGTGATGGCTCAGCACATGATCAGGGATATACAGACCTTACTGTCCCGGATGGAGGTGAGCACACAGATGCGGCGGCCATCTCTTCCCTCTTCTTTTCTCGTCGCCTGGGGGTGAGGACATGTTGGGCCGCATCCAGGGATTCTGCCTTCCTAATCTGGTCTCTTATCTGTAATTGTTGTTCTTTTGGTCAGCAAAAGTATCTTTGTGAAGCTGTCTTGTCCCTGCCAGTCCCCTTGGTTCCTGGTATGTGGGTAGTTTGTTTCAGACTTCTCAGATAACTTGTGACATCTCTTGTGAAGAAAGCATTTTCAATTTTGTGACTGTCATTTTTGATATTGGGCTGTCCTGACTTCATTAGTTTGTGTTCTGGCCACAACGTTGTGATTTCCCCACTTTGTGGAAATTAGAAAGTCCCACTCCCTTTTTTTGTTATTAATCCCTTTACATACATTGCGGCTATTTATTGTGTAGTTACGCTAGTTGTATACTGGTTGCTGGGGAGTCAGTGATAGGAATGACCGGCCCTGCCTTCAGGGAGCCTCGCTGGAGCCCTGTCCCCACACACGCCACTGGGCCCGAGTGATCCCTTACGGCAGTCTCACTTGGTATGTGGTGTCCTAACTCTCCCCCGTTCAGTGTCGAGGAGCGCCCCAAGCACAGCCCAGTCAGCCACCCCCACAGACATCAGCCATGGCCCCAGAGCCCGTAGCCTTGAGCTCGCAAACATCAGAACCAGCTGAAAGTGAAGCACCGGCCCGGGAGCCCATGGAGGCAGAGGAAGTGGAGGAACGCGCCCCAGCCCAGAGCCCTGAGCTCGCCCCTTCTGGCCCAGCCCCCGCAGGCCCAGCAGCTGCTCCGGAGACAAACGCACCCAAGTGAGCAATGGTGGGACCCTTTGGGGACTGGGTGTTCCTGCGTGTGGTCTGGGAACCAGGAAGGGTGCAGTGGGAGCGGAAGCCTTGTTGGGGTGCTCGCAGAGCCTGTGTGTGGGGCAGAGGTCTGGTAGGTGAGTGAGGTCGGGACTGGCCGCTGGGTAGAAGCGCTGCTCTCCCCATGCCCCACTCCTCCTGAGCCTGAGAATTCTCCCTCGAGCTCACGCTGGCCCCGGGTCATGTTTCAGTTTATTGTCACCGGTGTGGGGCTGTGGCCAGGAAAGTGGGAATAATTCCTCTTCTGCTCTTCACCTAAGTGGGAATAAGGGAGACAAACTGCTAGTCCTGGAAGAGATTGGGCCAGGGCTCTGGGAGCGCAGATGTGGCCCCCTCGGACTGTGAGGTGGGGGCTCAAGAAAGCCCTGGCTCACTGTCCCTGGGGTGTCCACAGCCACCCGTCCCCTGCGGAGTATGTTGAGGTGCTGCGGGAGCTGCAGCGGCTGGAGAGCCGCCTCCAGCCCTTCCTGCAGCGCTACTATGAGGTCCTGGGCGCTGCCACCACCACCGACTACAACAACAATGTGAGCCTTCTGCCGGTCTTCCCCGCCCCATCCGGTACCCCAGAGCAAAGTGGGGTTAGGTAACCCTTTGAGCTTCCCTCTGACGGCGCTGCGTCACCATCCCGCTAGACGCTAGATGCGTAGGGGATCTTTCCTCCCTCACAGGCAAGCTCATCTCTGCGGGACCCACCATCCTTGTAGCCCTTGCGCCCCTGACTGCATTGTTTAGGACGATAATAGAGCAAGGGAGAGTCCTAGATGACGTCGTCGAGGTTCCTTGTGAAGTTTGCTATAGGAGGAGACGATTCTTATGTATGACGTAGATTTACTTGCTCAGCTTCGGCCTGTGCATCAGCTTCCAAGGCTGTCACTGAAGCCTTAGACACGTGGCCCATCCGTCCCCGGGGTTAGTGGGCCGTGCTCCCGCCTGATGCTTCCCGCTCCTCTGTTCCGCTGGGCGCACAGCATGAGGGCCGCGAGGAGGACCAGAGGTTGATCAACTTGGTGGGAGAGAGCCTGCGGCTGCTGGGCAACACCTTCGTGGCCCTGTCTGACCTGCGCTGCAATCTGGCCTGCGCGCCCCCTCGCCACCTGCACGTGGTCCGGCCCATGTCACACTACACCACCCCCATGGTGCTCCAGCAGGCCGCCATCCCCATTCAGGTGTGGGCACTGCCGGGACGGCGGCGGGAGGTTCCGGAGGCGGAAGGCGGAGGAGGGGCAGGCTTGAGCGTGAGCTGTGGGATGCTCTGACTTGGGCCCTTGTGTTTCCTCACTTCTGCCTGGCCTTTCTCCTCTTCCAGATCAATGTGGGGACCACCGTGACCATGACGGGAAATGGGTCTCGTCCCCCCCCAACTCCCAGTTCAGAGGCGCCTCCCCCTGGGCCTGGCCAGGCTTCATCCCTGGCTCCATCTTCAGCCACTGTGGAATCCTCAACTGAGGGGACCCCGCCCCCTGGGCCAGCTCCCCCACCAGCCGCTGGCCACCCGCGGGTCATCCGGATTTCCCACCAGAGCGTGGAGCCTGTGGTCATGATGCACATGAACATTCAAGGTAAGTGGCGGGCAGCGGGTGTGTGCTGCAGTTTGAGGGGGACGGGTCGGGCAGGGGCGGCGGCTTTGTCCTTGGAGAGCATGTGAGGGCTTCCTCTTGTCACCTGGGCTGGGGCCTGGAGCATGGCTGACTCGGCCTTGGCCCCGCCAGCCTCAGGGTCGCCGTCTCTGTCTCCCTGCCCAGATTCTGCCACACAGCCCGGTGGTGTCCCGAGTGCTCCCACTGGCCCCCTAGGACCCCCTGGTCATGGCCAGACCCTGGGTAAGAGTGAGGGCATCAGAGCAGGCTGAGCTCTGGTTAGAGAAGGGGCAGGGCTGAAGGGGTGGGTTGAAGGGGTCCAGGTTCAAGGCTACATCAGACCCGCCCCCCAGGCTCCACCCTCATCCAGCTGCCCTCCCTGCCCCCTGAGTTCATGCACGCCGTCGCCCACCAGATCACTCATCAGGCCATGGTGGCAGCTGTTGCCTCCGCGGCCGCAGGTAATGACCCGGAAGGGGAAGCTTGGGAGGTGGGGCACAGTCCATGGTGGTGGGTACTGTCGGCTGGCGGGCAAGGGCCCGGCCCTCAGGCCTTTTTGGTCTCTCTCATCTGCCCACAGGACAGCAGGTGCCGGGCTTCCCGACAGCGCCGACACGGGTGGTGATTGCCCGGCCGACCCCTCCACAGGCTCGGCCTTCCCATCCTGGGGGGCCCGCTGTCTCGGGGGCTCTGGTGAGAGGGGTGGGGGAGTCTGACGGGAAAGGGTCCTGGGAGTCCGTCTGGTGGTGGTGCCTGGAAAGGGCAGGCCTGAAACCTGCCCTCTCCCTGCAGCAGGGAGCTGGACTGGGTTCCAACGCCTCGCTGGCCCAGATGGTGAGCGGCCTTGTGGGGCAGCTTCTTATGCAGCCAGTCCTCGTGGGTGAGTCCTGGTTCTCCCGCCGCGGCCCGAACGGTTTCTGTGACTCGGGTCTGACACCCCTGGGTCTTCCTTGCTCTTTCCATTTCTTCTAAAATTTGCTTTTCTGCCAGAAGGGTCAGAGTGGGGCTGCTGTAGTGTTTGGTTTTCCTTAAAATTTCTCTTTTGTCTTTTTGGTTCCTGATAGCCCAAGGGACCCCAGGAATGGCTCCCCCTGCAGCACCTGCCACTGCTTCGGCCAGTGCGGGCACCACCAACACCGCTACCACAGCGGGCCCTGTTCCCGGAGGGCCTGCCCAGCCTCCACCCCCTCAGCCCTCCACGGCCGACCTTCAGTTTTCTCAGCTCCTGGGGAACCTGCTGGGCCCTGCAGGCTCAGGGGCTGGCGGGCCCAGCCTGGCTTCTCCTACCATCACTGTGGCGATGCCTGGTGTCCCGGCCTTTCTTCAGGGCATGACTGATTTCCTGCAGGTAAGTGGCTGGCTGCCTGTTGTCTTACAGTTCCTGTTCCTCAGTTCAACCAAGCAGTGACACTTTGTTGTCATCCTGTAGCCACTGGGTGACAGCCACTACGGATATTGTTAGGGGAAGGGAATTCACTGATTGTGAACGCTCCATTTTGGAGATGGCTCAAGGAGAGGGAGTGCAGGAGGTGGGGTCCCTCTTCCTGACCTGACCCGCACAGAGGTCGCGGCTCCGTCTGACTCCAAAGCTGCATGCCTCCCTCCCCATAGGTATTCTGCTGTGAGGGGTAAAGTCCAGAGTAGAGCTTACTCTGTTTCCCCAGCCACTGTCGATTTGTGCCCTGATGACGCCATTTTAGGACTCTGTTCCTGTTCTTAGCTCCGCCTCCTCCGCCCCCACCCCCGGCCCCAGAGCAGCAGACCACGCCCCCACCAGGCTCCCCTTCCGGTGGTTCCGGGAGTCCTGGAAGCCGGGGTCCTGAGAGCCTGCCGCCAGAGTTTTTTACCTCAGTGGTGCAGGGCGTGCTGAGCTCCCTCTTGGGCTCCTTGGGGGCTCGGGCTGGCAGCAGTGAAAGTATCGCTGCCTTCATCCAACGCCTCAGTGGTTCCAGCAACATCTTTGAGCCTGGAGCCGATGGGGCCCTCGGTAAGCAAAATGAAGGCCTCAAAGGCAGCTAAGGAGAGTCAGCTGGGCTCAGTTCAGGGCTGTTGGCAGATGGAATGAGGTGGATGGACTGGCTGGGGTGGTGGAGGCGATTGCTAACTTCTGTCCTCTGTCCCTGTCGCCAGGGTTCTTTGGGGCCCTGCTCTCTCTCCTGTGCCAGAACTTCTCCATGGTGGACGTGGTGATGCTGCTCCATGGGCATTTCCAGCCACTGCAGCGGCTCCAGCCCCAGCTGCGATCCTTCTTCCACCAGCACTACCTGGGTGGCCAGGAGCCCACCCCTGGTAACATCCGGGTAAATGAAGGCCCGGGGCACCAGAGCTCTGCTCCTCCTGCCTGTTTAGGGATCAGCAGTCCCAGCCCAAGTCCTGGACTTCTTGGGGTGGAGGGGGAGTCTTGAGGACTGAGGTTTGGAGATAAACCCGTGACGTTTCCCCGTAGATGGCGACCCACACACTGATTACCGGGCTGGAAGAGTATGTGCGGGAGAGCTTTGTGAGTACCGCTTCTGTCTCCCCTCCTCTGCTGGGCCCGAGCAGGGACGGTGATGCTCCCCACTGTCTCACCCTTGCCATCTCTGGGTTCCTGATTTGGAGATCTCTTTGTGTCTTGTCTCAGTCCTTGGTGCAGGTTCAGCCAGGCGTGGACATTATCCGGACAAACCTAGAATTTCTCCAGGAGCAGTTTAATAGCATTGCTGCTCATGTGCTGCACTGCACAGGTCAGGGGCCAGCCGGCCAGGGTGTGTAGGCTGGGGGTGTGGTGCCGCTGGTGCCAGCGTCCCTCCTCTGCTCGCCCGCAGACAGTGGCTTTGGAGCCCGGTTGCTGGAGTTGTGTAACCAGGGCCTGTTTGAATGCCTGGCCCTGAACCTGCACTGCTTAGGGGGACAGCAGATGGAGCTGGCTGCTGTTATCAACGGCCGAATTGTAAGCACTGCCCAAGCCCGGGTGCCCAGCCTTGTTTCCTTTGGAGTCCTGCAGACTTTGAGCCTTTTAAAACTGCTGCCCATTATCCTGGATGTGATAGATTACAAGAGCTGGCTGAGGGTTTGGTCCCAAGTGTGCTTTCTGCCCGCAGCGTCGCATGTCTCGTGGCGTGAACCCGTCTCTGGTGAGCTGGCTGACCACTATGATGGGACTGAGGCTCCAGGTGGTCCTGGAGCATATGCCCGTGGGCCCCGACGCCATCCTCAGATACGTCCGCAGGGTCGGTGACCCTCCCCAGGTAATGGACCTGATGGGCTGTGGGGAGGGGCTTGGGGGAACCGCAGAGGTCTGAGGGGGCTTCTGTTTGGTCTTCTTTGTTTGATTCCATAGCCACTTTCTGAGGAGCCAATGGAAGTGCAGGGAGCAGAACGAACTTCCCCTGAGCCTCAGGTACAGAGGAGAGGGCCGTGGGGCAGATGATGTGGAGGGGTGGGCTGGAGACCGAGTCTGAACCTGGGATCTGCCCACTGTCTGCCTGCCAGCGGGAGAACGCTTCCCCGGCCCCTGGAACCACAGCAGAAGAGGTCATGTCCAGAGGGCCACCCCCTGCTCCTGAGGGGGGCTCCCGAGAGGACCAGGATGGGGCTGCGGCTGAGACGGAACCTTGGGCAGCTGCAGTTCCCCCAGTAAGTGGCAGGAGGTGATCAGAGGGTTAAGGCAGCTGCAGGCTGTGGGAATTACTTTCTGATCTTTCTCTCCCCAGGAGTGGGTCCCTATTATTCAGCAGGACATTCAGAGCCAGCGGAAGATGAAACCGCAGCCGCCCCTGAGTGATGCCTACCTCAGTGGTATGCCCGCCAAGAGACGCAAGGTTCGTTTGCTTCTTCCCTGAGGAGCCATCTCTACCCAGGTTCCCTGAATCGGCCGTTTAGAGCTGGAAGGAGCCCCTCCCAGCTCGGTCCCCTCATTCACGGGGAAACCTTTGGGGGACTCAGACCTGCACTTTGCTGGTCTGCTAGCAGTCCTCAGTTCCTCAGCGGCTGCTAAGGCCAAGTGACTAGGGCCCACTTGGAGGTGGGCTTGCTCTTGTGGATTCGCTATCTCAGAATCCCAAAATGACATGACCCACTTGGCCCTTGTTTTGAAGAGCAAGGCAGCACTGTTTTTGACCAGAGCCAGTTAGGAAAGCGTTTCTGCTGTCAAGCACATGTGGACCGTTGCCCTTCTCTCCACTGGTGTAGACTCAGGGGTTGTTGACTCATGGAAAGGGTGAGCTGGGTGGTGGCACTGGATCTGACGTCGATCCTCTTTTCCCTCCCAACCCCGTCCCCCAGACGATGCAGGGTGAGGGCCCCCAGCTGCTTCTCTCAGAGGCCGTGAGCCGGGCAGCTAAGGCAGCCGGAGCTCGGCCCCTGACGAGCCCCGAGAGCCTGAGCCGGGACCTGGAGGCACCAGAGGTTCAGGAGAGCTACAGGCAGCAGGTGCCCCCACCCGGAAGCAGAATAGGGATGGTCTAGCGGGAGGGGTTGGGCTAGGGTCCCTCTTCCTGGATCCTGCAGAGGTGAAGTGGGCTGCCACTCCATGTCCTAGTTTCCCGGCGGCATCTGGGAAGGCTGAGTGGTGCCAGGCACTGGGCTAGTGTCACGGCTGGTGGGGAAGCGCTGGCTCCTGAGGGACGGTCTCGTGCTTGCTGGGATCTCGCGGCTTGACTAGCACCCCTCCAACCTGCTCGCTTTCTCTCTCTAGCTCCGGTCTGACATACAAAAGCGGCTGCAAGAAGACCCCAACTACAGTCCCCAGCGCTTCCCCAACACCCACCGGGCCTTCGCTGACGATCCCTAGCTCTGTTCTCTGGCCCTTCCTCACCAGGGGAACACTGCCCCCTCCTCCTTCACAGTATTTAAGAAATAAAAGTCGGATTTTCTGGCTCTTCTTGTCTCCAACTTGTGTGAACTTACTTTGAAATTGCACTCTCTGGCAAGCCAGCTGTGTTGGTTCGTAACATCTCAAGTGTACCTGTGGCACATTACGATGTGCAGACTTGTTTTGATGGCTGGATTTTTATGCAACTGTCTTGAGATAGAAGATATTTATCCCAAGGGACAGAGACCACCATATATCAAGCAGCTGCTGGCAGAAGCATAACACACTATGAAATCCAACTAAGCTTGACCACATTGGACCTGGTCTGCCCAGGTCAGAAAGCCCAAGGACGCACTTAGGTGTGGACACCACCGGCATCAGCAGAAGGGATGCCCACCGCTGCAGTTCCCAGCGACACCTGAATACCCGTCCCCTCACTGAGGCTGGGCCACAAGCTTTGCCTTTTCCTCCAGCACCTCTTAGAACCCTGGGCAGGGACACACAAGGCCTCCTGACTCACCCCATGCTGGAGAGCCCCTGTGGAGACTGAAGTTCTTTCCAGATGCCCAGGCCACTGGAAGAAGCCATGTTGGGAGGCAGCGCAGCTGTCAGCTGCAGCCTGGTAACCAACCAACTGGCCTCACTGGCTGGTGCTAACGATTTGCCTCCCTGAACGCAGCCCAAATTCCCAACCCCCAAACTAAGACCCAATAGTATGGTTACATTTTAAGGCAGTTTTAACACATCACTGGAGGAAGTTCTCAGTCTCAAACTGCGTTTGTTATAGATCATTTCTGTCACAACCAACCAACCCATCCCCCAAATCAAAGTGCAAATACTTTTTTTAAATTATTTTATTACTCTTTTTTAACAAACGGCCCCATTTATATATTTATAATCTATATACAAGCCCTGGGGTGGGGGCGGGGGCGGGGACTCCCTCAGTGGGGTGGAGGCAACCCAGGCTCCTTGTCCCCTCGGGGCCCAGGCTCCTCTGCCCTTCGGGAAGGCCCCTCTCGAGAGGGTGGGCCTGTCCGCTCCCAAGGCTTCGGCATCCAGCGCAGGGCATTCGACGGGGAGGCCTAAGGGATAGGTCCGTGCGCAGGAGGAGTCAGAGCCCGATCAGGAACCCACGGGCAGCTCTTGACCTGAGACTGGGGACTACGGGGCTTCTCCTCACCTGCTGGTAGAGGTCGATGCGCTGGGTGCGGAAAACCCCGCTGTAGGTGGCAGGCGGGGCCTTGAGACGGGCACCGAGACTAGGGAAGGACCTGAGGGAGAAAGGCTGTTGAAAGCCTGACAATGCCTGCCCCTTGGCCCCAGTGCAGGAAAGTCAGGGCGCAGGAGTCTGTACCCCAACCCAGCTCACCTTCCAGCTGGGGGAGTACGTGATGACCCAGATCCCCCAAGGTTGCTGCTCAGCTTTCTGTAATCCTGGAACGGCTTTAGTTCCACTGGGTGCAGCTAAAGGAAAATACTCCTAAGCTGCCTGCCTCTCATCCCTCCTTCTGAGACCCGATCCCTTAGCCCTACTTTCCCCATCCCTTACCTCGGCTCGCCCCAAGCTCGGGGGGAAGGGCCTGGCAGGTGAAGGCAGCACCCGAGCAGCAGGAGCAGGCGGGGGCCGCACTGCCAGGCTGGGAGGCTGCAGAGCAGGCCCCACGGGCAGCAGGGAAAGGGGAGGCGGTGCGGGGGGCGGCGCAGGGGGCAGGGAGCCGAAGTCCACCACAGGCAGCAGCATCTGGAACACACGGCAAGGGTATGCGCCTGGGCCAGGGAGGTGGTGTTCGGGAGAGAGAAGGGGAAGTGCGGAGATCAAAAGTACCTGCTGGGCAGGGGCCCCTGATGGAAGGAAGCCGCTGTGTCCACCAGGCTGCAAAGGAGTGGAGTAAAAATCCGAAGGGGATGGCAGATCTTGGCGTACCTGTGAGGGCACAGGAAGAAGTAGGCCAACTCCCCTGCAGGCATCCTCCCGGCCCCAGCACCTGCCCAGCTCTTACCTGAAGCAAGGGTGGGTCTGGCAAAGGGCTGGGGCAGAAAGCCGGAGAGTAGAGGAAGGAAGGCGGAGGGTAGAGAACCCCAGCTGGCAACTTCCCCAGCTCTGTCGCTTGCAGCGCTGAGAAATCCAGAAACTGGCCCTTGAGAGCTACCCCAGAAAGCAGTGCTGAGGCTGGGGCTGGGCCAGGGGGAAGGTAGAGGGGCTGGGACCTAAAATGAAACAGGGGACTGGTTTAGCAAGCCACATGAAATCGCTGAGTCTGGGTATCCCCTAAATCCACTAGCCTCCAGTACCTAAAACTGTGTGTCTTCTGCTCTCCTCCCTGCAACCTCTTTCCACTTCCTTGTGAGGTCCACAGGTATCTGCCCAGTCCTACCTGTAAGGGTGCAGTGAGGGCGTGCCAGGGCGGAAGCTTCCATTGCTGGGGTGTATCTGAGAGTCCACGGCTCCCCCAGAGACCTGCTAAGAGCAGAGTTGAAACAGCTCCAGCGTCTGGTCAAGAAAAACTCACCCAGGGCTTGGGATTTAGCTCAGTGGTTCCACCACCTGCTTTGCAAGCACAAGGATCTGAGTTCGATGCCCAGCACCAAAAAAAAAACAAAAAACAAAAAAACAAAACAAAAAAACCCTCACCCATTCCACCCACTGCTCTGAAAAACAGAACAAAAAGAGCAATGGCGTTTTACAATTAAACAGTTTAAGCTTAGTCAGGAGACACAGCAAGCACAGAAAAATGATTACTCACTCAAGGGGAACGGGATGGAAAGCAGGGCTCACCTGAGAGCCAGGAGGCCCAGGGCTGCCATAGAAGATCTCTGGGTACAGGCGCTGGCCAGAGGAGCTGGGCTCTGGGCCACAGTGCCCGGAAGCCAGGCTCTTGGACAGGGGCTCCGCTGAGGCAGACGCACTGGGCAGCAGCTCCCAGTCTCGGGACAGCGGGATGGCCTGGCAGGAGAAGTCTCGTCAAGCCAGACCTGACCGCCAGGTCATTCCCGGAATCTTTACCCCCATCGCAGGCCTCCCACCATGCACGGCACCTACCTCAGGAACTGCTGGCGTGAGCTCCTTCTCCGCTTTCAAGCTGTCTGCGACCACCAGGTGCAGGTCTGAGTCCTGGAGTCCCGAGGGAGGAGAATTTCCCGTGATTCAGGCGCACCTCGCCTGTGTCCCACCCGAAGCCCTTCCCTTCTTCCCATCCCGTTCAGCCCAGCCCCTGCAGACCTTGTCACTTGTGCCGAACTGGACTGGAGGACCAGGCCGATGGGACGGCCGGACAGGACCTGGCTCTGGCCCTCTGTCCGCACGCTGGGACCGTTCTGTGCCTATGGGGCCAGGAGGCAGAGGCTGCTCCCGGGCCAGCTCCTGGGTTGGGGAACACAGCAAAGTAGAGGTGGTGGGAGGAGAGGGAAACCCATGTAGGGAACTCCCAAAACACAGCAGCGAAGGGAGGCTCAAGTAGGGTCACTGAACAGTCTCGGCGTCCTCACCTTTCTGTCCCCATCATGGGGGGTAGGTGCCCGTCTTCTAGGAGGCTCCGAGGGTTCAGAGCCAGGTGGACCCTCACCAGGAACGGCACTCAGGGGTGAGGGGCCTCCAGGCGGCTTGGGGGGCCCCTCCGCTGGCCCCTTGAGTCCTCCGTCAGGGGAACTTCGCTGGCTGCAGGGACCTGACGACACCTGAGAATCTCCACTCAGGTCCACCCCACTGTCAGACTGACTCATCTGAGAATGGAGAAGACCGGGTTAAGTCAGGGTAGAGAGCACCCCATATCCAGCCAACACGCACATGGACAACTCCAGAAAACGCCTTCATGAGGACAGCCTGACCCTGCCCACCCCACTCACCTCCGTGCCAGCCACATCCTCGAATGGACTGAGAGGCTCCATCCAGGGCTCCACGGAGCCGGGCCGGTAACTCTTCCGGCTGGTGGCTGGAGCGGAACACCAAGCAGGACAGGGACGGGGACAGAAGACAGGTCTCAAGCTCAGCCCCTTGCAGCCCCTTCCAGGCCTCCCCTCTGTCCGGCCACACTCACCAGTGTGTAGCCGGTCCCAGAGGTGGGGGGTCAGGGCCTCGGTGCCAGCCTCTCTGGAGTCTCCCCGAGGGCCCAGGGCCTCTGGCTTTGAGCCCAAGAATCCAGAACTGTGAGAAGCAGGCAGAGGCTCCTACAAGTAAAGCCGGAGGCAAAACATAAAGCAGGAGCTGTGTGTGTGACAACACACAGCAAGAAGGACGAGGACCCACGCAGGACACCCGGAAGGCCTTCGAGGGAAAAGCAGCACAGCCCCAGTCCTCACCTCCTGCAGCAGCTCTGGTTTCCGAGGAGGCCGCTCCCGCCGTTTGTGGGGGAAGGGGTTAGTAGCCCCAGCAGAGTCCTGGGGAGCCCCGCCTGCCTCCCTCACCGCTGGGCCTGACCCTGGCCCTGGCTCCTCGAAGTGGGGCTCTGAAGGAGAAGAGAACTGTTAGCCTGTGCCCACTGGGGACCCCAGCTGTTCTTCCGCCCTTCACCCCACTGCTCACTGCAGGTCACAGCAGGGCCCCAGGACCTGGCCTCCTCTGGGGACAGAGACCTTCCCATCCTGGCTGGTCCCACTTACCAGAACTGCCACCACTGGTCGCCCTCTGAGAGTCAAATCTGGTTGGGGGCCGAGGGGCTGGGCCCTGAGGCGGACCGGGCTTGGGCCTTGGGTGACCCCCTGGTGCAGCTACGCTCCCCTGGCGGCTGCTCAACTGGGCCAGGGCCTGTTGAATGCCAGCAGGGTTGCTGTGGATAACTTGGTCCAGGCGGAAGACAGCAGAACTGCTGGGCGGTGGGGGAGGCAGAGGCAGCCCCGGGGGACGCTCCTCTGGAGGACGGCTGAAGGAAGCGGGACAGAGTGTTGGCTCCAGGGCCCAGCAGCCTGTCCCTCAGACCCTCCCTACCAGTCCAGCCTGCGTCACCGATTTCTTCCCATCAGAACCCAAATGTCCTTTCCTGTCCAAACCCAACTGATTCTGAGCCATTCTAAGTTTTACGGGCCACGGTCTATAGAGCAGAAACAGAACCGTGACTCCACCAACTG